TGCTCCACTTTTTACGCTGGCGTTGAATCTGTTGCCATTGCTGCCACTGAGACCCGCAACCCTTCTAAGGCTGTCCCTACCGCCATTAAGCAGGTCTTTTGGCGTATTCTTTTTGTATACATGGGTTGTGCTCTTTTCTTTGGTGTCACTGTTCCCTACAATTCTTCTGAACTTATGGGCTCTTCTGCTAAGGCTATGCGTGCTCCTATGACTATTGCTCTTGCCAATGCAGGCTGGGCTGGTGGTGCTCATCTCGTCAATACCTTTATTTTGATTACCTGTCTTTCCGCAATCAATTCAAGTATTTATATTGGTTCTCGTACTGTTTTGTTTATGGCTAAAGATAAAACTGCTCCTAAATTTTTGGCTTATACCAATAAGCGTGGTGTTCCAGTTTATGCCATTGTTTTTACAAACCTTTTTGGATTTATTGCTCTTATGAATGTTTCTAAAGGTGCTGCATCTGCCTTTTCTTATATTGTCAATCTCTCTGGTGTTGCCACCTTTCTTGTTTGGGGATCAATTTCCTTTGTTCACATTCGTTTCCGTCAAGCTTGGGCTCATTCTGGTTACACTCGTCAAGATTTGCCCTTTAAGTCACTTTTCCACCCTTGGAATGCTTACTTTGGTGTTTCCTTTAACATTTTCTTAGCTTTTGTCCAAGGTTGGGCTACTCTTGCTCCCTTTGATGCAGGTTCCTTTGTTGATGCTTATATTTTACTTCCTCTCTTCCCTATTCTTTACTTTGGCTATAAGTTTGCCTTCAAAACCAAGTACCATGATATCGCTGATATCGATGTGGAGGCAGGCCAGCGCAAGGATTTAGATCTTAAGGAAGATGATGAGGAACTTGGAGTTGTTACTCAAGAACCAGAAGGTGACTTTTCCGATGAAACAAAGCTTGATGCTACAAAACGGGCAGTTAAGAAGCTTTGGAGTAAATTGTAAAGTGTTTTAGATATATTTATATATATTTATATATATTTTTATTGGGTTTATATTTATATTTTTTTTTTTTGTATTTAATTAATTGAGTGTGAAATTTGAAAATTTGGAAAATTTGGAAATTTTTTTTAATAATCAGGCCTGATTACCTTAAAGCAAAACCAGCTGGTTAGTTTTGGCCACGCAGGTTTATGCAGTGTCAAATTAAGTAATTGCTTATATAATTTATGCTCATTTTTTTTTAAAGTTTTTTTTAAAATTAGCCGCGAATTTCCTCATTAAGAAGTTGTTGTGATGTTTCAACCCAAAATGGGCAATTTTTTTTTTATTTTATTTTATTTTATTTTATTTTATTTTATTTTTTTTTTTTTTTTTTTTTTTGGCCTGAGCTGCTTTGCGCCAATCGAGTATGTACAAGCTGTTGCGACTCGCACACGTACTATACAATTCAAAAAAAAATGGTTTTCACAAAAGGCAAATCCGTTTTTCCTCCGACTTTGTCCAATACTAGTTTTTTTTTTTTATCTATCTATCTATCTATCTATCTATCTATCTCTCTCTCACACACACACATATACAATAATTTTCCCCCCGCTCCCCTCCTCTCCACTAATCTCTTACTTCGATAAGAAACAATGTGGGCGGGAGGGGGTGAGCGAGAAACCATCATTTAGTGCGGAGATTTTTTTTTTTAAAAAAAGTAAATATATATAAATAAATAAATAAGACTTTGAGAGTAGCGCCAAAAGGACATCATAGAGGGGTATTCATGGACCTAAATAAATTAATATTCAATCAGAAAGCAAAACAAAAAACAAAAAACAAAAAACAAAAAAAAACGAGTCTAATTAATAATGATTTTTAAATTCTTTTGAACAGTGGATGTGAAATTTTCATTTTAAAAAAAAAAATAAAATAAAATAAAATAAAATTTAGCTTGATAATCTTCCAAGAGTCAGTTTTACGTTATGTTATGTTATATTATATTATGTTATGTTATATTATGTTATATTATATTATATTATGTTATACTTACATTTATGTTATATTTGTACAACTGTATTTTGTTAATATTGTAGAAGTAGAATGTTTATATTTATTAAATTAATTATAAAACTAGAATAATATCCATCTGCAAAACTTTTGACTACATTCTTTATTTTCTACCTTCTAGTTACTTCTTTCCTCTTTCTTTATTCTTTTGTTTCGTATTTTTTTCACTTGTACTGTAGTAGTAGTTGTTGTTGTTGTTGTTGTTGTTGTTGTTGTTGTTGTTTGTTAGTCATGATATATAATTATTCCATTAGAGCATATAACAGAACAAACAAATTAAGATAATTTACAAAAAGGGGAGAGTGTGTGTGTGTGTGTGTGAAAGGAAAAGGATTTGTCTGAAATTACCAAAAAAAAAAAAAAAATGCTTTCTATTTAAACTAAATGGGTTTTTTTTTTTCAGGATGTCTCATCAAGCATACTATATATATAAACAAAGAATTCTTGTCAAAAAAAGATGTGGCTAAAAAAGATTTGTTTAAAAAAAGTCATTTATTTATTTATTTATATAAATATAAATATGTTTAATGCAATATATCTTTTGGTTAAGTAATGGTGGTGGTAAGTGATTATAAGGTGTAAAAGGTAACAACATAAAAATATCAAAAAGAAAAAGGGTTGAAACATTTTAAAAATACAAAATGTTATGTAAAAGCCTAAAATTTAAAGAATTAATACGATCAAACTACTAAAGCATATTTTTTTTTTTTTTTAAAAAATAAATAAATAAATAAATAAAAAAACATGCCACTTTAATAGATTTATATTGAACAAAACACTAAATGATGACATGGAGAAGAAGGAAAAGAGTTTCTTTAAAAAATGATATTTTTTTTTTTATGATTTTAATTTTTATTTTAATTTTAATTTTAATTTTTTCTTGTAGATTCTAATATGGCATTTCACTACAAGGGAAAAGGAGAAAAAGGATTGGAATGAAAGAAACCCCCCATTATTAACGAAAGATATATATACATATTTGTATTTGGTGATAATTATCCTTGAAAAGAATGGGGGGGAAATAAAATAAAATAAAATAAAATAAAATAAAATAAAATAAAATAAAATAAAATAAAAGATATTTTATAAAGATTAACCGTTGCAACTTATTTCTGTTTTGTCAATCAATATGTCTATTATTACAATTAAAATATAAATAAAATTATATACCAGAAGATACATCATCATATGGGGTTATAATTTTTAAAAGATAACAACAACAACAACATTAAAAAAAAAAAAAATTCAAACCAAAGAATAAAAAGATCTTCATATCAAGATTTTTAAAAAAAAAAAAAAAAAAAACAGCTATAATTGGGGTAAAAAAAAAAGCCACATGTTGGTGAGTTGTTATCAACCTTTCAAAAAAAAAAAAAAAAAAAAAAAATCTTCCAAACAAGGAAATTTCTTAAACTGTTTTAAAAAAATATATATATATATTTTTTATATAAATGACAAGTTGATTAACGCCTCCACGATTTCAAGCATATATAGCTATATTTAAATTATATATAAATTATATATAGAGAAAATATTTAAAGTCCATAATGTACTTTGATATTATTATTTTTTTTTTTTTTTTTTTTTTTTTGACAAAAGAAAGGCACTAAGAAATTATTTTTTTTTTTTTAAACTATATAGATTGATAATTTTCATGCAGGGTCAAAAAAAATGGAAAAAAAGAACTTTTAAAATATTATCATCATCATCTTCATCACCATTAACAAGATGTTCAAAACAATGAATTAAATGAACTTATCATTAAAAAAAAAAAAAAAAAAAAAAAAAAAACTCTTATGGTGTGGAAAACGTGCCCATATTAAACCTCTCATGTTTAAAAAAAAAAAGAAAAATTAATAATAATATGATAAATAAAGGAACAAAGAATCCTATGACGTCGTTCAGTTTAAACTATCCTCAGTTAGCTCAAAAGTTAGTTAAAAATGATTGAAATTTTAAATAAACAAAAGAAATTTTCAAATATATATATGTCTAATAGATACTAAATGATGATTTTAAAAAGTAAAAGTAGGAGTATGAATGGAAAAATGTGCAATTGTCGAAAGATTAAAAAAATAAACTAAAAAATAAAAAATAAAAAATTCAAATTCAAATTCAAATTCAAAAAAAAAAAAAAAAAAAAAAAAAAAAACCTTTTAAAATTACTATTAAAGACAAAAAAAAGTCAAAATTTTTTTTTTTTTTTTAAAAAATTTATGGCTTTGTATCTTTTTTTTTTCTTTTCTTTTTTTAGTTTATTTCTCAAATAGAATAACTTCAAAAAAAGGAAAAATAGCGAGTTAACTGATGAATGAATATTGATACATAATAATAATAACAATAAAGAATAAAGAAAAAAAAAAAAAAAAACGCCAAGGAGATTTTGATTAAAAAAGAAAATAAAAAAATGGAGATCGGAGGACTTAATTTTTTTTTTTTTTTTTTTTTTTTTTTTTCTTTTTCCGCAGTTTAGTACATTTAAAAGCCAGGGTACAAGTGGGAAAAAAAAAAGTTTTTTTTTGTAAAGCTTTATTTTTAAATTTCAAGCCATTTCTTAATTGAAAGATTAATTAGACTAATTGTTATTTTTTTTTTTCTTTGCACTGGTTAATCGAAAGACAAATATTGATTAAAAAAAAAATAAAATAAAAATAAGTGAGTGATAAGTTGGCTAAAGCTTTAAACAAAAAGTTTTTATTTAATCTTTTAATAAATAATCTGAAAAAAAAAAAAAAATTAGTATAGTCATTATTATGGGCTTTTTTTTGAAAAATACAAATAACTAAATTTAGTTATTTCAAGAAAATGAAACTTCAATTTGACAATTTACATGTTTAAGAAAAAATCAAAAAAATCAAAAAAAAAAAATATATATATATATATATATATTTGAGTGGTACTCAAATTTGCATCCTAAATTATACATTTCATTATATTGAATTTTTGAATATTATAGGGTACAATTTGATAATGATTAATTTTTTTTAATTTATTTTTTTTTTTTTTTGCCGAAAAAAAAAACTATTCTAATACTTTCATTAATTTTTAAATAAAAACATCTGTTTTTTTTTTGTTTAAATATATCCACGAATTGTAACTTTCATATTCAAAAAAATAAAATAAAAGTTTACTACAAAAGCATTTCTATCCTTTTTAACCGACCTGTTGATTTATTCAAAAAAAAAAAAAATTTTTTTAAATTTGAATATATGTATATATTTTGGCGGGAATCTTTATTTTTATTTATCAATTGTATGGTGATTATTATTTTTTTCTTTTTTCTTTAAGCTCTAACCTGACCATAATAAATTTACTGCAAAAGCACATTTCAAAAAAAGACTTTGAAATCAGTTGCGTGAAAAAAAAAAAATAAAAAAAAAAACAGGGCAGACCTATAGAACAAACAGCAACTGTAGAGAATTGGCGCCCCTCATAAGAATTAATGCATGTAAACTCATATAATAATATATTTACATACGAATCTTTGTAATTAATTACAAATATTTTTTACAGGATATTATCAGATTAGGTGCAGCGGAAGAAACGTTCCGCATATATTCTCATACCACTTAAGGTGCACCTTGGAGGGTAAATTTTATTTTATTTTATTTTATTTTATTTTATTTTTTTTTTACAACTTTTATCCCTTTAAAAACATATATACCTTTATTTTACCGCCCCCAATCTGTACTTGAGATTAACCGCAGAGAAAGGTATTATTTAATAATATCAAAGCAAAACTTGAAAACCAAGAAAGAAAGAAAGAAAGAAAGAAAGAAAGAAAAAAATAAAATAAAAAATAAAAAATAAAAAGCAAAATAAACATCAAAATAAACGTAACTCAAATATTTATGAATCAAGATAAAGATAAAGATATTGGGTAAAAAATACGTAAATAAAAGATAAGAACCGCACAATTACTATCTTTTGTCCTGATACTGCTCATGAGA